TATCCTGAACCTGTATTGTGAGGTATGTAGGCAACGTTGTCGTGTCTACTGAACGCTGTGTCAACTCAATGAAAGGTTACATAGACAGTGTGTAATTACAACACAACGCTAGACGCAGATAATTACATTGTTGCAGATAATTGGACAGTCGCCGTCATCTTCAGTTCAAAGTATCGAGTGAAATTATCAATAGTCATGTACTGGTTTTACGTAATTTTCTTGAAAATTGATAAACGTCTCAGCTGGATTGGATTACGCGGCCCAAGCCTAGTGGTTAAACCTTTCGCTAGTCACGACCCGGGTTCGATTCCCCACATTGGTACAATGTGTGAAGCCCATTTCTGGTGTCCCCCGCCGTGATATTGCTGGAATATTGCTAGAGGCGGCGTACAACTAAACTCACTCACTCACTATTGCGAAATGGTCACCCAAATGGAGTGTTTGTAGTCTTGTAGATCTAGACGGAGACAGACTGACACCTCTCTTCAAGATCCAAGCACCAATAATTATCTCGCAAGTGACTCCGTGGCATTTGATTGGTTAACGAAGCCAACATTGTACTGTTTCCTGTTTGACTCATGATAGAATATTGGACGATCTTAGTTGTATTGATGCGCCAAACCTTGGGCTGGTATTGTGTTATATCGTTATGTAAAAAAAAAATATAACACAAAAAAATAACACAAAAAAACATTGAAATAAAATAAAACAATAAATAAATAAAACATATAAAATAAAAACTTTGATCCACAATGAAAAAGAAAATATGAAACCTAAAGCTGTCAGAAAGCGTGAAAGCTGTCAGAAAGCATGACTCCAGGGCCTAGATTTTCGAAGCTCTCTTAACGCTAGATAGTCGTAAGTGCCATACATTAACATAGACTTACGACTATCTTAGCTCTAAGAGAGCTTCGAAAATCTAGGCCCTGGGCAGTAGGTACATATGTCGTATGAGACATGGTTATTTATTGCAGGAGGCATCCAGGTTTGTGTTCAGGGGAATGTTATGATGCTAGGAGACGTAAACATGACTTCAACAAGCCGAGAACAGCGTGTCCTGGTCGTAAACACAGGTCAACATCTGGACACAACTGTCCTGTAGTTGGTCAGGTGGACCTGCTGACCCTACATGGGTCGGTGACTGGACACCATCGCTCACAGGTTGTCATGTAGACTAAGGTTTAGTCTCTGAATATATATAATTTTGATAGTAACAAACAAGCCCATTTATATTGAAAAGGAGCCCTAAGGAGACCAGAGATTCTGAACCTGAGGAAATTTGGACTTGCTTTATTTAGAGCTTTAGCACTGCAGAGAGGGCTTAGCAGTAGGGAAAATAATGTGATTCAGAGACTGTGAGACAGACTAGTTGTCATGATGGAGTTGTCGCTGTGGATTCTTAGCCAACTTCCTTTGCTCAACAATTCGTTGAGCAGAATTGCGTCCCTTTGGGGTGCCAGGAAACTATGACAGGTTCGAATCCTGATTTTGTTTCTTGGTTTGCCAGCACCTAACCATGCGTGTTGTTTTCATCGAAGTGGTTCACGTCTAAGACCTACACTCCTTTGTTCCCACATCTGACAGACCCGGGAAGATCCGGGGTAGAATAGGTCTTCAGCAACCCATGCTAGCCACAAAAGGCGACTATGCTTGTCGTAAGAGACGACTAACGGGATCGGGTGGTCAGGCTCGCTGACTTGGTTGACACATGTCATCGGTTCCCAATTGCGCAGATCGATGCTCATGCTGTTGATCACTAGATTGTCTGGTCCAAACTCGATTATTTACAGACCGCCGCCATACAGCTGGAATATTGCTGAGTGCGGCGTAAAACTAAACTCACTCACTCCCACATCTGACATGTCGTCATAGAAAGGAAACGTCGAAATATCTCACTGTATGCACGACTAGAACACAAGTGAAGATCCACAAGCGATCTCAGTACTAAGGCTAGCCCAAGTACTAGTATGTGTTGACGTACTGTTACAATCACCTTAGGGTATTCTCACAGTCCCTGAACCGAATTATTTTTCCTTTCCGATCAGCCCAGGTAATGCAAAAGGCCCAAATGAATGATCGACTTCCCGAGGATCTGAATATTCCAACTCACTTGGGCTCATATGCAACTTCAATGGAATTATTTGCTTCGGATCCGGTAAAAGCTGGACCATATAGTCTGTGCACAAGGCCCGTTATAGTAAACTTATCACCTTGAACACATAGACAATGCATTTGGACTGTGATGATACATTTATGAGACCAGGTAAAATATATGTAACAAATGTCATATTTAAGATTACACTTTCTTTTTAAAGACACATTCGATTACTATTTGGTTTGGATCTCATTTGGGATTAGAACCACCCCACTCAGAGTGAGGTATCCGTATCGCCAGCACACAAAGTCCATAACCAGACCCACTCAGCCATCAAGTCTTGCACAAATATGGAAGCCAGACAAGTGGTAGCTGAGGTCACGTACTGTGTATGAGTGAGTGAGTATGGGTTTACGCCGTTTTAGCAATATTCCAGCAATATCACGGCGAGGGACACCAGAAATGGGCTTATCACATTATATCCATGTGGGGAATCGAACCCGGGTCTGAGGAGTGACGAGCAGACGCTTTAACCATAAGGCTGTCCCACCGCCGCACGTACTGTGATAACCCGCTGATCAAATGTAGATTGACATGGCTCCAACAGTTGAGCCAAGAACTGATAATACCTCTTAGAAAATGGTCAAATGTAACTTGCTATATTTGGCATAGCACTGTCATAGTACAGGACAGATTCTAGTAGTTTTACAGCTTAGAACCTACAGCTAAATCATTAAGATTGGGTTTTAGATACGCGGTCAAATCCAAATAATATATTAATATATTCCATAATCCACAGTCGAGTCGATATCTGATGATTTACTAAATACATGTATCCTATAATGATAAATGGAACCTCAATATAGTTTCTACTGCGAGAATATGTTTACATTCAAACCAATAAGCCTAAGAAAACAGATGAAATCCGTATAGAAATAAGCCTTCCAGCCACGAGTTTAAGCAGAGACCATATAATAGATTATATATGGTCTGTGGTTTAAGTGTAGAACCCTGTCTTCCTTTTGGATATCGACGTGGCGCTGTAGACTCGTACGTCTCTAAAACTACAACCATACCTCTCCAGACTTCCCCTTTGTGTTGACATTACCGATTTTTATACAAAAAGAAATTCATGTCTGACTGACACCTCCTTCAGACATAATATCAGTTTAATCGATAGATCCATTTTGACGCCAGTGCGATCGCACGACTCGTGTGTCAACATGGGTAAAGCTAGACAACGAAAATATCACCCGCAGCGATTCCTCTCATCGGTGTTGGGAGTCTGCTGAGATCGATCTTCTTGGACGCAAAACCTGATCAGTCGTGATTTGATTTGTGGTTATTTTCAAGAAATCGATGATCCAGGTATCATATTGGTGCACTGATCTCAAATAACTTTCTTTTATTAAGCAACTAAAAGCATGAATGGGCTGATAAATATTCCCAACGGTGACAAGGCCTAGCGGACATAGAGAGTCGATTGATTGAAGGTACTCTCATTTCGAATGACCTCTGTTCACATCATCATCATCATCATCATCATCATCATCACCAGTCCCTGCAGTAGATAATGGTACCATGAATTAATTTTTAGCACAGCAAACCGTTTTTTAATAAATATTGTGATTTATGAATACGATATCTGATTTTCAGAAACCTGTGCATATTGGAATAACAATTGTGTTATTAATTGTCTTTTTCCTAATTATTTATTTTTAAAGTAAATAATGAAGATTAATAAGTGAGTGAGTGAGTATGGTTATGAGTCTTTTCAGCCGTGACGTCAGTGGGGGCACAAAGAATGCACCAAATACTCTGCCAGCGCGGCCTCTGGACGTCATCTAGCACGTGTTACCGGAAACAGTTCTTCTCGATCATAAATGTGACTAGTCAACAGGCTTCCGGCTGGATCTACAAAACCATCAAGAACAGAACCGAACCAAAAGTTTGCTATCCTTGTCGTTCTCCTATTGACGTCCATGTCAGGGTTGCAGGTGATGAATGAACGACAGTAACACCATAACCACTTGGCTATCCCACCACACACCATGCAGTAATTGACAACATAACCAGTCGCTGTAGTCACGCTCACCGTAGTGAAATATGTTCAACCGGTTTTACGCCTATCTCATTTGACAATGGGGCACAGAATGTATCGCCATCTAATGCAGGGTAATGAGCTGCGTAAACATTTCTGCCTCCGCCCGAAAAGGATGGAATCTGTTTCGATCCCATTGTGTTCCCAGGTGTTTCCCTGTCATTTGTTTGTTTGTTGTTTAAGTCAGCACTTGGCAATATTCCAGCAAATGCGGGACGGGCATCGGTGCTTGCGTGCGTGCACAGATGGCCTTATCGTCTAAGACCTAATTCGTTGCTGCCCGTTGCGTGCATTAGGCTCTCTAGAAACTTATGACTGTGGGTTCGAATCCCGCTTAGCCACGATTTAGTCTGCCTCACAGTCCATCAACCACATTATTTTCCCTACTGCCTAGCCCTCTCTGCAGTGCTAAAGCCCTAAATGAAGCAAGTCTAGATTTCCTCAGGTTCAGGAATCTCCCATCACTCTGGGGCTCCTTTTGAATTTAAATGGGCTTATTTGTTACTGTCAAATTCACATATATTCAGAGACTAAGCCATAGTCTAGCCCCAATTATGTTCCCAGGTTTGTGAGCACTTGGGTTTCACCGAACGATACACATCTAGGGCAGGCATCACTTCAAGTTTTCCACGCACATGAGTGAGTGAGTGAGTATGGTTTTACGCCGCTTTTAGCAATATTCCAGCAACATCACGGCGGGGGACGCCAGAAATGGGCTTCACACATTGTACCTATGCGGGCAATCGAACCCGGGTTTTCGGTGTGACGAGCGAGCGCTTTAACCACTAGGCTACCCCACCGTCAGTTCCCCCATGAAGCTGACATACTGTAATAACTGGAATACTGTTCAATGTGGCCATATATCCACCACCCACTCACTTACTTAATAATCAATCTTTAGGTTTATGACAATGTAGGAGCTATCAATGTTCCATTTTCGTTTTGTCAAAATTTCCTTTGTTGCCGAGGCCCCCGAAAGAGCCGAAGACATTAACATGGATTAATCATTAATAATTGCTGTGTGGTAATCACGGAGGACTACCAACTGCAAATGTCACATGGATACAAATTGGCTAATTATAGATATAAATAGATCTCTTAATGATGGTGGTAATTGCGATTTTCTTTGCCGGTGTGTTGCCCTTTTAAAATCATTTCGGATTCGTATAGAATGGCGGATTGTACAGGCAGCTGGCGTACTACCAAATTAGTGACACACAGATATAAGATGTGATATGTATACAACATCATCCACCACAACGACGTCATCAACGAACATCCCATTACGGTTTGGTTTGTTTGTTTTTTAACGCCGCACTCAGCAATATTCCAGCTATATGGCGCCCCATTTCGGAAAATAACCAGGACAGAATTTGAAAGTTACCAAAGTACAATTTATTTATTTTTACGTACATTGAATGTAGGAGTATATAAAGATAAAGTAAATTCAGTTATATTGCGGTCAAAAATCCAGTCATAGAAGACACCAGGTGTTAACATACACCCACAGCTCTAGATCTGTGAAGGGGTAAGAGACGAAATATTCAGTACACGATTTGAAATCAGTTCCGGTAAGACTCAGACTTAAATGTAACTAAAGTATATTTGTTTTCATGGCAATAACTGATTATAAACTTGTAGCGATAGAATATTGCCGGTTGCAATTTCAAGGTTCTCTTTTAATCAAGCAACTAAAAAGCATGAATGGTCTCTGGAAACGGAAGGCGGAACAGTTGTCAAATAATGTTTTGCGCATTTCTTAAGGTATTTTCTTGAACTTCAAAAGCAACACAGGCCCACCATATGATAAGAGAAATCGGTCCTTTATGTGGTACGTTTTCCAAAACAAGTGCACTATGTGTACTCAGCTTAATAGGCGAGGTCCTAAAATAGACATTATGCCTTCTGACTAATCATTTTCAAGAAAATATAATTAATTTTTTTTAGTTTAAACCAGTTTAAGTTGGAGTTAGTAACATTACACTGATGGCCACTCAGCCTCCTTCTCATCCATTCTTTCGCAATATTTATCTTACGGATAAGTTCATTGCGAAACCAGCAAGTGTGTCATGATGGGCGGGTTTGTGAAAGTGTAGGTTAACATAAAACCGTATGCCACTTTATATAGCAAAATATTTGTACTATTTGTCATATATCAAAGTGTTCGGTACAAGTGTTCAGTAGATCCTACCCTACAGAGGTAGGGCTTGTTTGTGGTTGGGTTAGCATGGGCGAACTTCAGTTGCATTTAAACTCGGGGAAAATGAAGATTTACTCAAAGTAAGTGTTGAAGTAGGTCCCCACTCACCAATGTGAGTCGTATTAGTGAATGAGGTGAGGTGAAATTGGGTTGAACGTCGTGCTTGAGAATATGTCGCTCATATGACGACGTGCATGCGTGTGTATGTGTATGTGCAGCTGCTTGTACTAGCCCAGACTTAAGCTGCTTTTATAGTGCTAGCTCACTGAGATACCATGCCGCAGTGAAGCATGAATACCCCACTCAGACACATTATACTGACTTCGAGCCGACCAGTCCTTGTTGTACCATTAATGCCGAGCTCCAGGCAGGGACCAACAAGTACCATATTTTAACGTCTTTTGGTATGACGCGGTCGGTGATCGAACCCGCGATCTTCCGCTCTCCGGGCGGACGCTCTAACCACTACACCACGGAGGCGGTCGTATGAGTGAGTGAGTGAGTTCAATTATAAGTCACGTCGTGAGTATTTTTTTCAGCCATATTGTGACTTGATCAAGTTGTATACATTTTAAACTAAAACCTGGTAACTAAGGACAGTAAAGTAACTATATAATCACAGATATAGGTCTAAAACTAGTCTGTAAGTGAGTGAGTGAGTTTAGTTTTACGCCGCACTCAGCAATATTCCAGCTATATGGCGGCGGTCTGTAAATAATCGAGTCTGGACCAGACAATCCAGTGATCAACAGCATGAGCATCGATCTGCGCAATTGGGAACCGATGGCATGTGTCAACCAAGTCAGCGAAACTGACCACCCGATCCCGTTAGTCGCCTCTTACGACAAGATAGTCGCCTTTTATGGCAAGATCACCTATTCTACCCAGTATGTAAGTTATATGGACTGTTCACCACAATACAATCTAAATTTGGGCTATAGATCACCACTAGCCAAAGTTAGGCCACCACACCAGGGACCATGGGGATAAGTCGTAACACTTCAGGTAAGTAGTGGGTTTGACGATGGCTTGTAGACAGTGAATTTAAAAACAAAAGCAAAACTATTAAAAAACAAAACAAACTAAAAAAACCCATTTCTATTATCATTAACATCATCACTTTGAATATAAAAATATATGTCACTTTAATATGAAGATGGCTTGTAGACAGCAAATTTATAAACAAAAGCACAAATAAACAAACAAAAAACCCAAAACAAACATTTCTATTTTCATTAACATCATTAAATATAATCGAACATATCGATGTAATCACGATAATAAACAATAACTACAATAAAAAGTCATGTTTGGATTAGCCTTTTTAAGCGTTTTCGTCACGCCGAAGACCCGGGTTCGAATCCCCACACGGGTACAATGTGTGAAGCCCATTTCTGGTGTCCCCCGCCGTGATGTTGCTGGAATATTGCTAAAAGCGGCGTAAAACCAAACTCAGTCAGTCAGTCATGTTTGGAGCGGAAATGTCACCTTATAGATAAATTGTTGCTGAACACATGACAAAAATATAATGATGAACAATACCATGATGTTAAATACAACGAAAACAAGCATTGTCACTAAGGTGACATAATCCCCCGCCGCAAATTATCAAATCAAACTTATAAAGTAATGAAAGTTTAAGATGAAGTTAAATGTCAACAAAACCATGACCAGTCAACCTCTCTTGATATCTTGCTCTTTAGTTGTTCAAACACACACATGTTTTCAAGACTGACTTTGACCTTGACATGAATGTCATAGTGTATGAAATATGCACAAATAGTACTAAAGAAATTGCTTATTGAAAAACATTCAAGGGAAGTCTTGAAAGTCTGTGAAGAAAATCCAGTGAACCGTTTTTGAAATATCTTGCTGACAATTCAGGTTAACAAGCTGAAATCTTCAAAGTGTCGTCGTGAACTTGAAAATTTAGTGAAGGTCACCAAAATCGACTGGGCCCCGCGCCTTCCCTGGATAAATCTTGGTGTCAAATATGAAGAAAATCCAGTGAATGGTTCTTGAGGTATCTCGCTGACAAGCATAATATGCATGTTAATATGCTGAAATCTTTTAAGTGTCTCTGTGACCTTGAAAATTAAGTGAAGGTCACCAAAATTGACTGGGCCCTGCGCCTTCCCTGGATAAAGCTTGGTGTTGAATATGAAGACAATCCAGTGAACGGTTCTTGAGATAGCTTAACATGCAGGTAAAACGTTAAGTCCCCTTGTGACCTTGAAATGAAGGGCAAGGTCACCAAACCTGATTTCGACCTTTCTTTACTGTGATGAACCTAGGTACCAAATATGAAAAGAATCTAGTGAACGGTTCTTAAGATGTTCCAATTCGGACGGACGGACGGAGCCTAATACTATATTCCATGCTTCGCGCTAAACGCGCGACGGGGGATAACAAATGATTCAGAGTGAGTTTAGTTTTACGTAGCTTTAAGCAATATTCCAGCAATATCACGACGGGGGACACCAGAAATGGGCTTCACACATGGTACCCATGTGGGGAATCGAACCCAAATCTTCAGCGTGACAAGCGAATGCCTTAACAACTAGGCTACCCCACCACCCCAAATGATTAGGAGAAAAAGTGGAACTTGTGTTATTCTTCGAAGATATATTCAGTTGTCTGATATCAAAACAGAAAATGTTCATCCTCATTCAGGGAGAATGATATTTAAAGTGGCATTATCATGAGAAACTGTAAACGTAACTTGATGAAGAAAGTGTACACACCCCACTACATTAACGTGATGGTATTAGTCACCTCATCACTGCTGATATAAATCAGCCAACCACAATTAAGTGTATTTCGAAATAATGATAAAGTGAGAGAGTTGGGTCACCAGTATTCCAGTTACAACATGGAGAGCCTGCTAGTGTGGGATGAAAGAAGGCACTGATGCAGGTCGTACACGTGTACTACTTAGGCGAAACCAATGATTACATATCTGCAGTACTTAATGTCATCAGGGGCGGTGAGGTGCCTAGTGGTTAAAGCGTTGGGTCGTCGAAGGGGTTCGATTCCCGGGTTCGATTCCCCACATGGGAACAATGTGTGAAGCCCATTTCTGGTGTCCCCCGCCGTGATATTGCTGGAATATTGCTAAAAGCGGCGTAAAACCAAACTCACTCACTCACTTAATGTCATCACAGATGGTCTATAAACTACCAAACTCAGTACATCCACACCGTGTCGTCCAGAATGAGGAGCATAAATCGAATACCTACCTATCTACCTACCTACCTACCTACGTATACCCTGCACCATCACAGCCTGTCTGGGTCCCATACATGTGCACATACGAAACAAACACTAAGATTGTCATTAATCTATTTCACGATGTTGTCAATTGATTTAAGCGGATAAGACGAAGCAATGTTTGTAACCTCCACGTGCTTACGTGTCTCGCAAGAACTAATATCAGTAGGTATGCCAGTGTGTACATAAGTATGTGAGGTCGATGTTATAAATACAACCTAGAAGTTGCAGAACAAGATTTCATGAACAGATCGTTCATACATAAGCCCTATGTAAACTCCGTCGTTATAACAACGCAGTTTCATTGTGAACTTACCTTATTTCATTTTGTGTGTGTTAATTGTCTGCATAATATATACAATTATCCACCGCCCCCTTAAAAAAATATTTACGATACGAAAACACACTTAATAATATGTGTGAAACTACCGAACCAGGTCACCGAGTAATGGATTACGTACAGACACATCGTGTCATCATGGTATGTGTAGGTGGTATGTGTGATCTCTGGCCGTACCTTATGTTTGTAGGTTTTGTAGGTTGGTTGATCGCCGCACTCAACAATGTTCCAGTAATATGGCGGCTTTCTGCAAATAATCGGGTCTGAACCAGACAATCCAGTGATCAACAACATGAGAATCGATCTACGCAGTTCAGATACGATGCAGTTAAGATACGATGACCAAGTCAGCGAGTCTGACCACCTGATCCCGTAAGTCGACTGTTACCACAAGCATGGGTTGTTCAAGACCAATCCTTACGGGTCCGTACCTAGAGAGTGAAAGGGCGGGGTGGGATGGTGTAATACCAAAGAGATGGCAGTCCACTGTATCATCATTTCAAATGCATAGACTTTGTCATGTTTTTCACTAAAACATCATTTTACATAGCATCCCCCCTCTTTGTCCCCCTGCTGCTGCTCCTCTTCATCATCATCGTCATTACACATCACCATCATCACCATCATCATCATCATACATACACACAAATGACGTTACATCACAAATCCACCTAGGTGTATAAATGTACTGGTTGTGCACTAACGTCAATAACGTGTGTGACCTCCTAAGGCGTGTCATGTGGCCATGACGGCAACTCAGCGTCTCCCCACAGACAGGAAGTAGTCCCTATTGGTCAACGAGTGCTCGCCCAAGTTCTGAGGTTGATTGATCTGCTGTCTCACTCGTCTTTCCAGCTCATCTCAAATGTGTTCGATCGGGTACAAATCGTGAACGTTATGACTACTCCATGACATTAACACCGGCGTTACGTTAGACGTTGCGCGTCAGAACAGCAGTGTTGGTCGTGACATTGTCAACGTCAGCCCAGGACCATGTAGCTGTATGGATGGCAGGACTGGTGTCAAAGCTTGGTTCCGATAATGTATGGCAGTAAGATTTATCCGGTGGTACAATCAATTGAGATGGACCGTTGGCACATAATTATCCCCAAACCTTTACACTGTCCCCTCAAAATCGGTCAATCTCACGAACACAACGCTTTGCATGACGTTTCCCTCACAGGCCCGCGTGTCTTTGCGAGGATTAAAGATTTAAAAAATATTGTTTTTGAGATGACCCCCGACTCGAAATGCTTCACAGTACAATCATGACAAGGCCGGACACTTCGGTGCACCCCACCGACTGCTTTACCGATCGCTACGCTACCATTGCATGCAATCGATTAAAACTTGATGTAGACATAATCATGGATGATTGGCCTATCGAGCATCACTCATGACACCTACCAATTCTTTATTGTTATTTCTGTAAGTCGATTAAAAGCCGATTTTGACTCTCAACTAAACGATCTTGACACAAATAGCTGACGATATATCCGCACAAAAAGGGTGTGTGGTCGAAACAAGCCCTCTGGTTGGTCAACGCTGATAAATCTGCACATATGTTTATAAATTCTTGGGAATTTTACTTTCATCTACTGCTTGACTTGAAAGAAATGTAAGATTTTTTCCAGCAATGGCTTCTTAAAAGAAAGCATCATTTGTAAATGTCTCCTTAACAAAAAAAATCAACAACCTGAGGGCTTGCTTCGACCACACCCCCGTTTTATGCGGATATATCGTCATCTTATGTATGGCTCATTCAAGCAAATATGATTTCCTCGCAATTGAATGTAATGTCTTCTCTCTGGTGAAAAATAGGCAGCAATGGAAGGTGGAGTTTTAGAATCCCCCTAAAGGTGATCAACCGACAATACAAGTTTTTCAAACTCTCTTTAAACGTACAAAAGTCGGGATAATAAACAATTAGGTAAACAACTTCTGTAATATTATCATAAAATGATAAAATTTTGAAACCGATATATATATGTCCTTGACTAGGTCGAGCCACACCCTTCCATATACACCTTATACACTTCCGCATATTTGTGGTTGAATGGGACTTACTTACTAACTGCTGATAATGTTTATTATGATGTATAATATTTAATATTGTAAACTTTGTTGGATATTTTACATATTACTATACATCTAACAAAACGGAAACCTGATCAATGACTCCTACCTACAGCAGTGTTCACACTCCCATACATTATAAAGAAAACTATATTACTGAGTGTCTGTCCAGAGATCAGGATGTTCGAACCCTTGGACGCTACAAACCAACACGCGTTAAAGATGGTACCTGCCGGTCACTCGACATGAACTGGACACACAAGGGAAGGTTGGGTCACCTAACTTCTTCCCAACATTAACCGCTTAATGAGGTGTCCGGACTAAGGAAAGGTATTTGTATGCAGGTATATATTCCATCACAGTAGAGATATTTTTTCGGATATACACAGCATCGCAGATAATCACCCAAATGTTCAATTTAAACCAGGTTGGATCTCGGACCCTTATCTCTGCGACTGTCGTAATGTTTTCCCAAGGTGTGAGAGTTACGATCACTTGAGCACCTTGATATCTTTGTACACTGACAACCTAGGCCTAGATTTTCGAAGCTCTCTTAGCGCTAAGACAGTTGTAAGTTAATGTTAATGTATGGCACTTACGACTATCTTAGCGCTAAGAGAGCTTCGAAAATCTAGGCCCTGGTTTATTTACAATAACACTTACTTACATATATCTGCTTACTTGGCCTCCTGTATCGTACAGATGAATGCGTAAAACATACAGATCATACCAAGATGACATAATGTTACAGAAAATATATACTCAGCCAAATTAAAAAATTAACACAAGTAAAATTGAATGCACAATGGAAGTAGAGTGTGCATTATTATAAAATAGATGTGTATCATACTGCTACCATCCAGATGATGAAAAGAGTGAGTGAGTGAGTTTGGTTTTACGCCGGTTTTAGCAATATTCCAGCAACATCACGGCGGGGGACACCAGAAATGGGCTTCACACAATGTACCCATGTGGGGATTCGAACCTGGGTCCTCGGCGTGACGAGCCAACACTTTAACCACTAGGCTACCCCACCGTCACACAGATGAGGATTGAGGCATCATATTATTGGAAAATACTGCATAACGTTCCATAACGAGTGTGACCTCCTTGGGCGGCCATGACGACAACTCAACGTCTCCTCATCGACATGAAAACTTGTCGGGACAATCGAACAGGAAGTCGTCGCCATTGGGCAAAGAGTACT